GTTCTATCGTTTTCAAATATGTCCTGGGTCCACAAAACATTGCATTGATACAATAGGGTACAATAAAATACAAAAGCAAAATTAATACACAATAAATACAAAATGTAACATAGAACAGGTAGGAAATCTCTAATCAACCATGACAGGTGCATTCTGTTTTGACATATTTGGAGAGGGATCTCGTATACAGTCTTACCTATCTGTATATCACTTTGTTACTGTGTATTCAGGGCTCCCTGTCTCACTCTTTTACTGTGTATCCATATTTTACTGCGTATAGAGAACATCCTGCACGACTTGTATGTAATTATGAAGTACACAGGACACCCTGTGTATATCCTTCTATTGTGTGTGTATATATAGGTTATACTCCGTATATTCATTTAAGTTCTACATATTATAGGCAGCAATTTACCTTGTATCTTGTGTGCGTCTCTGTATTATTTTGCATATATAGCTGTCTGTGTACACTGTATGTGGGGCTATACAGTCCAGGATTAGTAATATTGTGTATATGGCTGTGTGTGGACACCTGTTTATAGCTCTGTAGAGGGTGTTGTTCGCAGTCCGCTCTTTGTTGCTCTGTATAGAGCGCTTTGTGTGCAGGGCTGCATGTGCGCCTTTTGTGTTTTTACTGTATATGGAATACTTCATAATTTTGCGTACAAGGCGGCATGCGTGGTGGAGAGAAATGGTAACATGGGACTCAGTAGGACTGGTTCTTTAGTAGCTAGGGGAGCTAGGGGGTCATGGTACATGGTGCCTTCTAAGCTATGTATCATTAGAAGGACTGGTATATGAGGTCCTTTGTTTAAAAGGTTGGTGAAACTGACTAACGTCGTTGATGTATTCTGGAGCTGCACGCCCTGGATCACTGGAGAGCACTTGTCTTGATGACCTGTTGTGTGAACATGGAAAGAGCTGGATGTTGGGAAGGGAAAATATTGTTCTCTCTGGTTTGCCGCTAACCAGTGTAGTGTTAAAATTAAATAAAGATCATTGATGCTCAGATTGTTGCAGAGAACTATACAGTCCTTAACCCGGGTCTCTGCATCGGAATCGGGGTCTTCCGGCCTGTATTGGTTCCTATAAGTCACTGTGATCCTGAAATGTTGGGGGCAATTCCGACTATCTCCCTCTTCTCACTACCTCTGTTGCTTTCCTTCCTTTTTTATGGTATGTATATTCATGTTTGGTAGGTTTCTTTGAATATAGCATTGCTGTATTTGTTTTTTTTGCTGTTTGTGTGAATACATGTGATCTTTGTATACTGTACTTTGTATTTTGTGGACCCAATTAATAAAGTGATTATTTTTTTTTTTATGGTTGTGCTCCTCATTTAGCATTATTTGTAGATTGTTCAGGTCCTTTTGGGATATAGGACCCGAGTGAGCACCCTGTTTAAGCATTTTTATGTAATTCAGTTAGTGTGTCTTCCTGTCTAAATCAGTTTGTATTTGGATACTTTTTGGCTATCATGTCCTTTTCTAACTAGGCTATCTCTCAGTCTCTGGCTTATGTATATATGTAATGTTGTTTGTGTGTGTGTTTTATTTGTGTTGCCATATAAATAAAATGTATTTTTTTATTTAATTTTTTTTATATATTATTTTCTTCTTTCCTGTCCTTTGGGTTTAAGTGAGCTGTGTTCCAGCGTCCAGTCCTTTGTCCTTGAGGCAGGCTATTGTGGTAACTTCAAGGTGGCCATTTGATATAGATATGAATGTCACGGGCATACAGTGCTGGAGTACATTGGCAAGCTGAAAACCTACAGAGAGAGAGAGAGATAGAGAGAGATATATATATATATATATACACACGCACGCGCGCGCGAGAGTAAAAAACAAAAATGACACCAATTCTCACGCTGAACTCTGCTTTATATCCTGTTTCCAAAAATGAAGGGAGATGACTATCTCCTTAACAACCCCTGTCTGTGATTGTGGCCTGATAGGGTTTGATTTAAGCTTGGTTGTGGCTGAAACATTACATAAAGCATTAGTGTTCTTATGTTTTATTGGTGGGTCTGTAGGTAATGGTTCCTGCCTGCTGTTGAGTGCTTATATGCGAGATTTTACCTAGTGCACTGGGAAGGGATCTTCATAGAATAATGGTATATTCTCTGCGTAGACAGCTTGCTTAATCAAATATAGTAGATGCCTCATGTCCTGTAGGATGTTAACCTCATTCAATTATATCATGTGTACATCAATAACTGTATAGGATGAGATCTGATTGCAACTGGAGTCAAAAAGGGACTACGGACCGGTTTTCCCCACTTTTGAGGTCTGGTTGGAATGTTTTCCTTTATTTGTTTTGTTTATAAAATCAACAGCAGCAACAGTTGTGTCAAAGCTTAGAATTGTAATAAAGGTGTTTTCTTATTTCAGCAAATGACTGGGTAACTGTTCTTTGTCAGACTGGGGGTGTTCACTGTACTGAATGTTTGCTTTTTGAATTTCTGTTCCTGCTAATTATTGACTATACTGAGTATTGTGGACTACTGACACGGCAATGGCAGATTTAAGTTCAAGGCTGCTGATGGTGGTATAGCAGAGGTGTTTTTTTTTGTTTTGTTTTTTTTTAAATGGGGGTGGGGGGGTAGGGTCTTGTCATCTCCCTCCTGCCATCTCACTCCTGCCCCATGCCCTGACTGTGGTATGGGGCATTTAAAATGTAAATGGCAAAGAAAAGCCATTGTAGCCAATGGAGTGACTGGGTACGCAGTCCTCTCATTCCTAATGTTGGGGGAGGCATTTGGTAAGATGTATTTTGAAATACCCTCTACCAGATTCCTGTTGTTGTTGTCATTTATATAAGATCAACTTATTCCGCAGAGCTTTACAATTTTAAGAGTAGAGGAAAGCAGAGTTTTATTTTTATTTTTTTAAAATATTTTTCTTCAAAAGCTGAAATTCCTTGATCAGTTTTTCACTCTGTGTTTTGTGCTACTCCTTTATCTATGTAAACATGACCATTAGTCCCATGACTCTCAGCCAGTCCGGTTAAAGGGGAGTTATTATCTGTAGTTCCATCTTGTACAGAGCGTCTAATTGGGTACATGGATTTAAAAGGACACTACAAGGTGCAATTGAATCCATTGAAAAGAAAATGCATTAAAAAAAGCTCCCAGATATATTGCAAATCCCCAAGCTTCTCCGGTAAGCTCTACTGAACCATAAAGTTGCTGAAAGCTCTGAGCCAATGTAGATGTCCCTGGAGTTATTCAGGAAGTGTGTATACTTGGCAGGGTCTCTCTCTCTCTGTATTGCACAACCTGAGTGAGCCCTCCTCCTTTATGTTAGGGGGGTGGCTGTCAGTCTCTCTCTCTCTTTCCGAATTGCACAATCTGAGTGAGCCCTCCTCCTTTATGTTAGAGGGGTAGCAGTCTGTCACATGCTGCATGTTTGTACACACCCATAATTCCTGGCTAAGTGTAACCCTTGCTTGGCCATGACTCACTGCTGCTCTGACGTGTCTCACACACTCAAACAATAGCCAGGCCGCTGTCCACGCTGGACTGTCCTGCAGGATGTTATGGAATCCATTCCAGCTCTCAAGCTTTTTAATGCAAAACCAGCTGAGTGCCCCCTTCCTCCACTTTTCACCTCGTGGCTTCCTCTGCCAGATAATCGGTTAATGGTTTGTGCTATTTCCATAACCCTCCCCTCTTGCTTCACAGTTCAGCTTGGGACAGGGATGGTATGTTCCCTATACAGGCAGTGCAGACAGCAAGGGATAGGGTAACTGCTTGAAGTTATGTCTCTGCCTAATCCTGCAGACAGATTGTTCCACGCTCCGTGCCAGCTGGGAGACTTTTGTCTGCTTGCTTTTTATTAAGCCGTGTAACCATTGCTCTGTTCTCAGGATCTCTCACCTCTTCTCGCTCTCTCTTGCAGATCTCCGTGACGTGTATGTATGGCCCCATGTATCAGCCATTCCAGATTACACAGGTCAGTATAACACCAGTTCTAGAACCCTTCCCAGCATTTCTAATAACCGCCTCCACCAGAGGCAATCGGCCCAGATCTTGTATTATTAATTTATCGTTCTCTGCCTTCTTTTCGAGCCAGAACAAGCCCTGATGTTCCCTGTCAGAATGCAGACACTGAAACCAGTTTGATAGGTTTAAATTTGCCAGCTGGTCTGTAAGCTTGGCTGCCTCGCTCCCTGCATATCTAGCTGCGGTGTCACACGGCACGTTCCATAACTGGTCTTTGCACCTTTGCTCACTTGGGCCAAAAGCAGTGATAATCCCTTCTGCCGTACTGCATCATGCCTGTTCTGGTGTGCTAGGCATTTCATCTTTGATTCGCTTTGTCCCTCCCATCTGTCTTCACGCTGTTACTGAAAAGCAGACACCGATATATTGCTATTAAACAGGTCTGTGCAGAGATTCATGTTTTATTGCTTTGTGGAAGCTGTGCCTTGCAGATGACTCACATTTATTGCGGTAATGTCTGTGTGTGTTTCTCTGAATTTTCTATTCCAGGGCAGTTTGTTTTTTGGGGTTTGATTTACCTTATTTTTATCCTTTGTTTTTATAGATGGCACTGTGCCCACGTGTCCCATTATACTATGAATTCAGCTGTGGCACAGTAAGTTGGAGGGGGGTTGCACATCTAATGCATTCCACTCTCCGCTGACTCTTTATACAAAGTCTCTGAAATGTTCCAGCCTCTGTGTGTGATCACTTTGTTAGGGAATAATTTGTTGATGGATTGGATTTGATCCAGGGTGAGACTTTATGAAGCCATTTTCAGTTTGTCCCCCCCCCCCTCAGGTCCTGTGTCGTGCCCATGTGACGTGCGTGTCTATTATGATAGAATTTTCTTCTCTTAGGTTATGAAGTAAAGTAACATCGGCAGACGTTTCTGGACCTAGGTATGTCATTTACCCGTGTCAGTGAGGGGCTACTGTCCTCTGTATTTCCACTCTTTATGTTTTTGTTTTTTTCTTTTATAGCCCTTACTGTCCCTGGAACCCACTCACCTTTCACCATGCTGCGAAGGAGCCTGTTACTGAGGAAGGGAGCCTTGTCTCCTTTCCATACGTCATTCTTACCGGCATGTGCCCGATCCACGTCTGCCACTGACCACATCGAACTGGCACGAGAGAGGTCAAAAACGGTCACTTCCTTCTACAACCAGTCTAGCATCGATATCGCTGCAGAGAAGGTACCCAAATAAGCTGCTGGAAACACTGTGCTTGTGCTGCATTACTGGAACAGCAGGGTGGCAAAGTGTTAGCTATTCCATATTATCCACCCAATGTGACATTCTGCTATTCCAGTACTTCACAGTACTCAAATAGCATAGGGCAATGGTGTATGGATAATGTCTAGGAGGCAGTATTGGAATAGCAGAGGGTAATAGTCTATGGATAATGCGTAGGAGGCAGTACTAGAATAGCAGATGGTAATGGTGTATGGATAATGTCTAAGAGGCAGTACTGGAATAGCAGAGGATAATGGTGTATGGATAATGTGTGCGAGGCAGTACTGGAATAACAGAGGGTAATAGTGTATGGATAATGTGTGCGAGGCAGTACTGGAATAGCAGATGGTAATGGTGTATGGATAATGTCTAAGAGGCAGTACTGGAATAGCAGATGGTAATGGTGTATGGATAATGTCTAAGAGGCAGTACTGGAATAGCAGATGGTAATGGTGTATGGATATTGTCTAGGAGGCAGTACTGGAATAGCAGAGGATAATGGTGTATGGATAATGTGTGCGAGGCAGTACTGGAATAGCAGATGGTAATGGTGTATGGATAATGTCTAGGAGGCAGTACTGGAATAGCAGAGGGTAATGGTGCGAGGCAGTACTGGAATAGCAGAGGATAATGGTGTGTGGATAATGTGTGCGAGGCAGTACTGGAATAACAGAGGGTAATAGTGTATGGATAATGTGTGCGAGGCAGGCAGTACTGGAATAGCAGAGGGTAATGGTGTATGGATAATGTCTAGGAGGCAGTACTGGAATAGCAGAGCGCAATGGTGTATGGATAATGTATAGGACGCAGTACATGAATAGCAGAGGGTAATGGTGTATGGATAATGTATAGGAGGCAGTACTGGAATAGCAGAGGGTAATGGTGTATGGATAATGTCTAGGAGGCAGTACTGGAATAGCAGATGGTAATGGTGTATGGATAATGTCTAGGAGGCAGTACTGGAATAGCAGATGGTAATGGTGTATGGATAATGTCTAGGAGGCAGTACTGGAATAGCAGAGGGTAACGGTGTATGGATAATGTGTGCGAGGCAGTACTGGAATAGCAGATGGTAATGGTGTATAGATAATGTGTGCGAGGCAGTACTGGAATAGCAGAGGATAATGGTGTGTGGATAATGTGTGCGAGGCAGTACTGGAATAACAGGGTAATAGTGTATGGATAATGTGTGCGAGGCAGGCAGTACTGGAATAGCAGAGGGTAATGGTGTATGGATAATGTCTAGGAGGCAGTACTGGAATAGCAGAGCGCAATGGTGTATGGATAATGTATAGGACGCAGTACATGAATAGCAGAGGGTAATGGTGTATGGATAATGTATAGGAGGCAGTACTGGAATAGCGGAGGGTAATGGTGTATGGATAATGTATAGGATGCAGTACTGGAATAGCAGAGGGTAATGGTGTATGGATAATGTATAGGACGCAGTACATGAATAGCAGAGGGTAATGGTGTATGGATAATGTGTGCGAGGCAGGCAGTACTGGAATAGCAGATGGTAATGGTGTATGGATCATGTATAGGAGGCAGTACTGGAATAGCAGAGGGTAATAGTGTATGGATAATGTGTAGGACGCAGTACTGGAATAGCAGAGGGTAATGGTGTATGGATCATGTATAGGATGCAGTACTGGAATAGCAGGGGGTAATGGTGTATGGATAATGTATAGGACGCAGTACATGAATAGCAGAGGGTAATGGTGTATGGATAATGTGTAGGACGCAGTAATGGTGTATGGATACTGTGTGCAAGGCAGGCAGTATTGGAATAGCAGAGGGTAATGGTGTATGGATAATGTATAGGTGGCAGTACTGGAATAGTGGAGGGTAATGGTGTATGGATAATGTATAGGACGCAGTACTGGAATAGCAGAGGGTAATGGTGTATGGATAATGTATAGGAGGCAGTACTGGAATAGTGGAGGGTAATGGTGTATGGATAATGTATAGGACGAAGTACTGGAATAGCAGAGGGTAATGGTGTATGGATAATGTATAGGACGCAGTACTGGAATAGCAGAGGGTAATGGTGTATGGATAATGTATAGGAGGTAGTACTGGAATAGTGGAGGGTAATGGTGTATGGATAATGTATAGGACGCAGTACTGGAATAGCAGAGGGTAATGGTGTATGGATAATGTATAGGAGGTAGTACTGGAATAGTGGAGGGTAATGGTGTATGGATAATGTATAGGACGAAGTACTGGAATAGCAGAGGGTAATGGTGTATGGATAATGTGTAGGAGGCAGTACTGGAATAGCAGAGGGTAATGGTGTATGGATAATGTGTAGGAGGCAGTACTGGAATAGCAGAGGGTAATGGTGTATGGATAATGTATAGGACGCAGTACTGGAATAGCAGAGGGTAATGGTGTATGGATAATGTGTAGGAGGCAGTACTGGAATAGCAGAGGGTAATGGTGTATGGATAATGTGTAGGACGCAGTACTGGAATAGCAAAGGGTAATCGTATGCTATTAATGGCATGTGAGCCAGCTATGTAACATGATGAGTTTAAAGGCTGTATTGTTGGGTCTAGGTTAAGGCTTTATTGTACTGGATCATTGAAACATTTACCCTTGTATGACTTTATTATTTTTTTCCTCTCCCGAGGTTTCTGTTCGTCTCACTCCAACCACCATGCTTTATTCAGGAAGATCTCAGGATGGCAGCCACATCTTGGTGAGTCTGACAGTTATGGCTATTTTTTTCCTTCTCTCCTGTTTGGTTTACCTACATAAAACGCCCATTTAATCGTGCCCAATATTCTCTGTTTTGCAGAAGAGTGCTCGATATTTGCATAAGGAACTTCCTGTCCGCATCGCTCACCGGATTAAAGGTTTTCGGAGCCTCCCATTCATTATTGGCTGTAACCCCACGATCTTACATGTGGTACGTTCTTACCATTGCGCATTTCGTATTCCTGGAGGCTGCAAGCCACAGGGAAAGGGGCTTAATATGGTGCCAGACGGCTACTAATATCTGTCTTTCTCCAACCAACAGCACGAACTCTACATCCGTGCTTTCCAGAAGCTGAGTGAGTTTCCTTCGGTAAGTGGGGATACCAGTAGTACAGTCATATTGAAGTTGTGCTTGCTAACATTTTTAGGCTCCTCATTCAGAATACAATACTGCAACTTGGACCTTCAATAGATTATTTTTTTTTGTAAATATCTGTTTATTTTGGCATGGGGTTTTCCCCTCATACCGTTATTTTTTTTTTTTAGTTTTTTTTTTTTTAAACAAGCATGACATAGAACGGTGGAATACACCACTCGCAGGTCTGTCAATGAAGCGTAAAACCATGGAACTCGCAGGTTCCTTAAACATTTAGGTAACTTGTGAGATACACAGGTCTCCATTGTTGTTGGGTTATTAGTTGTCAGATGGTAACTAGTCAGTGGTCAGTTGCAGTTACTGTTTAACATCAAACAAAGCCAATGATTCAGTAACAGTGTCTGTGTTGGTGGTGTGCTTATATTAAGGTTCTTCTCGGTCTCTACTGGTGGTGTCAGAAGTGTCTTACTGTAAAAGTGATTTGAAATCAGCTGAGTCTGTGGATAGAATCCACTGAGTCTAGATATTCAGGTAGGTTTGGGGTTTCTCGCTGCTGCGGAATATTAGGTCTTCCATAGCACGGAGTTCTTCCATTCGTTGGAACCACAGTTCCATCGGTGGGGCTATGTCTTGCAATAGATTATTTTACATGAAACCAGTCACTGCTGCCTCTAGCAACACTGAAACGTCAACCTGTAATCAAAAGTAACATCATATGGCTGTTGTCTAAACTTAATACATTACATAATATCTGAAGATGTGTTAGCAGTGAGGAACAGTAGATACAGCTTGCTCTCACACCGTGTAATGTAATAAATTGGATGTCTCTCCCTACAGATCACTGACCACGAGACGGAGAGTCAGTACTGCAAGCTGGTGAGACAGTTGCTTGATGACCACAAAGACGTAGTGACTCAGCTGGCAGAGGGTCTGAGAGAGAGCAGGAAGCATATCCAGGTACCTGTCCCATGATTACAGTGTTTTCTATTAACTCCCTGACTCTGGTAGAGGCATTGTAACCTAGCCGGGGACTGTTACCCTTTTACTCGATATGGGCTGCAATAGCGCCCCCTTCTGTAACACCTGTGTTGTCCTTTTTTTTTTTTTGCAGGATGAGAAACTGATTCGCTTATTCCTGGATAAAACGCTCACATCACGGCTGGGTATCCGAATGTTGGCGACACATCACCTCTCTCTACATGAGGATAGGGTAATTAACCCAGCATTGCAGCCCCATCTGTATTGTTCTCAGCCACAATTTCATAATATTTTCATGTGACCCTCCATTATCTTCTATTTACTTTGCAGCCAGATTTTGTGGGCATTATCTGCACCCGCCTCTCACCCAAGAAAATAATTGAGAAATGGGTAGACTTTGCCCGGTAAGCTATCCCTTCTTTTATATGTGTCTGCCCCTAGCTAGGAGGGCTGTATGTACTCTTTTTTTTAATATAGGTAGAAAGGGCTTGTTTGAGACCAGGCGGGATCCTTTTTTTTTATTTTTATTTTTTTATGTATTGTAAAATCAATGCAACACAGATGTATATGTTATCGATCATACAGTGCCAGTTACAGAGGCGTCCAGTGGGAATGAGAGCAGGACTAAACGTGAACATTTAGATACCAAGATCTAATTATTAACATATGAACCGACGTCTATTAAACATAATGCAAAAATGGTGTTTGCGTCCGGAAGATGTTAGTCTGTTATTGTTAATATTTGAAGAATATCTTATTACGGAACAAGCCGCCTAATGACACCGAAGGTGTAATTGCTTTACCTTAACTTGGATGGTGGTAGAACACACAACTGAAGCATTGTAGGCTGGAAAAATAGTTTTTCTGCTGCAGTAATAAGATTCTGGATTTAACGTGCTGTGTCTAGTTGTACATGGTTGATTTCTAAGGAAGTCACAGGGCAGGTAGTGTTTTTTTTATTTTAAGTTATTACCTTCTATGTATAAGTTCTGTGTGCCAAAGTCATCCCTTTAACGAGCATTCTTCATTCTACAGACGCCTGTGTGAACATAAGTATGGCAATGCCCCTCGTGTCCGCATTAACGGCCATGTTGCAGCTCGTTTCCCGTTCATTCCCATGCCGTTAGATTACATCCTTCCTGAACTGCTAAAAAACTCCATGAGGTAAGTAGACTTTTTGGTAATTTGAATGGCTTCTCACACTCAATCTTAATGTGACCTTTACCCCTTGCTTTCTTTCCTTAGAGCCACAATGGAGAGCCATATTGATACTCCCTACAATGTTCCTGACATCTCCATCACCATTGCCAACAATGACATTGATCTTATAATCCGGTGAGAACTGAAGTACCACTGGCTTTAATTCCATTATTATATATTATTCTCCACCCTCCCCATAATAATTGTCTGGAAAGTTAACCTGCTTGTTGGCAAAATATTCGCTATTCACATTTTACGCTGGTTTTTATTGCTAAACTGGATGGTATGAAAACCATTTGATGCGTTTAGTCTGTGCATTGCAATACATGGTACATTTTCTATTAAGGTGATTGGTTACTGCCAAACCTTGTGTCAATGGGCAGGGAGAGTGTTTGTTTTAAAAGTTCATATTTTACATGCGCCTCCTCTTTCCACCAGGATCTCTGATCGAGGTGGGGGAATACCGCATGATCACCTGGAGAGAGTTATGAATTACCATTTCACAACAGCTGAGACCAGCACTCAGGACCCTCGCATTAATCCCATCTTTGGGAATATGGTGGACATGGTGAACAGTGGCCAGTCCGGTCCGATGCATGGGTGAGTTTGGGTGGTATTTCTGGGAAGTCGGCAATTTATAATTATTTATTTACCCTTTTTGTGTCCTTTAGATTCGGGTTTGGACTTCCCACTTCCCGAGCATATGCTGAATACCTGGGAGGATCGCTCAGCATCCAGTCCCTCCAGGGGATTGGTACTGATGTCTACCTGCGGCTCAAGCATATTGATGGCAAAGAAGAGAGTTTCCGTGTCTGAGAGAGGCCAAAAGGACTGTTCTAGTAACTCCTTTAAAGCTGGGGACTACAGCAGTGAAGGAGTTAACAGTACCAATGATGCAAACCCCAATGGTTCATGGGACACTTACCGTGCAAGCCCAACATTTTACTTCTCAAAACATCAGATTTTTGTTTTGGGGATTCCAAAGATCTGCTATTCTTTGGTTCCTCTTTGAGAAGATGATCTTATCTCCCTTGGATGTAATGAGAGAGAGTCAAAACCTTGGTTCCCCAAAATGAATGTCTTTTGCATGTTAATCCTCTTCACATGATACCAAGTCTCTTGTTCTAAAAGATTAACCCCTGACAGGCACCAGCAGGGAGGGGGATATTTAGCTGATCAGACTGCCCCTGGGTTTCAGAGTTTGAGTTTGTTGTATGAATTTTCTGACTGCCTTAAAGGCCGCTGGTTCTTGCCTCTTAGGGATACCTGCGGCTCAGACCACGACTAGAGACATGAGAACAATTATTACTTACCTTTTCCAAAATGCCAATATCTGAATGGATGCTCTTACATGGTGTGGAATGATGGACCGTTCAGAGGATCAATGCAATCTCTGCACTCAATGGATTAATTTAACGGATTGATTGAATTAAACTCTGCTCTTATCGTGGTCCATTCCCGATTCCAGCAATAAAAGGGGAATTCAGAGACATGCACCCATTAGGTTGGTGAACCCCAACATCCAAATTGTCTGATGGGGTTTGTGGGATATCATTTGCTGGGGCCTGTAGCAGTAAACGGGTTATATCCGCACTTAAATGTATCTTGCTTAGATTTTGATTTGTGACGTTCCAACAAAACTTAAGAGATTATTCTCCACACTTTGTATTCAGTAAGCACTTAAAGCTACATCCTCTGGACAGCAAGGCTATGGATGTTACATGATGCTACTGCATTCTTGAGATTGAAGCTGACTCAATGGACTCTAATCTTCGGCAGTGTTTTGTGATCCAAAGTATATCATTGCAGTGCATATATATGGCCACCAGATGTCCCTGTTAATACATTATCACTGTCAAAAATATAGTTGTATCAAGACAGCAGGTTACAGGTGATTATTTTTTATTTTTTATTTTTTTTGGGAGCAAGTCAATTTCAAAGAATAGCTTATCTTGCTTAGCAAGAAAAAAACAAAACTCCCATCTGTCTGTGCAGCAGTCGTCCAATTCTGTGACCCTTGCTTCTCTCACCGATTGGTTATATCTCAGGACTCTGCGCTCTGAAAAGGGCAGTTAATGTGTTTGGAATGACCCTGCGATATGACTTTAGCTGGCTAAATTTCACTTGTTCTGAAAGAATATTTGAGCTCTGTTTGATAAAGCACTCAACTGGGCAGTTAGTGTGTCCTTCTTGGGGCTGACTGGGTTTATTACAAGCCAGGATCAATTCTTACTTGGGCCAGTTATCATTTTTTTTTTTTTTTATTTCAATCTGACGTTTCTCAGCTGGGACTATGAGGAATTATATTTTCATGGTTTAACTTCACCTCTTTTCTGTAACCTATGCAGAAGAGATTTAGATTAGATTCTTTCCGCTTTGATTCTGTCCTTGGATTCCAGCTCCAGGGGACGGGGTTTATACAGATTGTCACTAGAAGTTGAGACTCTCTAGGTTGTTTTCTGATTAATCTCACAGATTAAATTATACTAGATATTTTAAGATGGTGGTACACAAGGTAAGAATCAAGCTATAGTGTACAAGGCGGGTTTGAAGGCTGCGTGTTACGGTGGCGGTCACGCCGTGTGTTTTTCAATGTATGTTATAAACCAATGATCCAACGTAACTTTCAAAGCGACAATCATGTGATATATGTATGTAAACCCTCTCCGCTAAGGGATTTCTCAATGTTTAATTTCCTCACCGATGCTGCCGTTCCTTTCTGACTGTGTTCTTTTGCAGTAATATTGTGTGTTGTTTTTATTTTTGAAAAAACTTTTTTTCCCCTCCTTTAAAAAAAAAAAAAAAAATGTAAAAAAATAAATGTAACTGCCTGTCTATAGCAGGTAGAAAACGGTTACTTGTTTGTATTCATTGAATAAGGCTGTACCTTATTGGGGGGCGCTGATGTCTCTTTTTGGAAATCTGTTGAATTAGAATACTTGTAATGCATGAGCCTCCAGAACTCAAAATGATATGGACTACTTCTCCCTGGTTCTTTGCCACCATTAATCTTGTAATGGCACTATGGGAGATGCAGTCCACAACATCTGGAGTACCTGCTTGAGTGTTTGCGTCATTTGACATCTGCTACCAACTAGCAGAGACAAAAAGGGAATTAGGGGCACATTTGGAGCATGCGTTATGCAGGAATGGTACTGCTGTAGAGCATTGTGAAGTAGTGGTGGGCTTAACACAATATGGCGGAACTGAATCCCCGTATTTGTTAGAATGGATACCTGAGGAATAAAAAAAATAAAATTAATCATTGTCAGAGGGATTCATATTACCTCACAGTAGTGCAAACACTACTTCATAACACTATAGTGCTCCCCACTTCTTAAAGTGTCTATACTCCCCCTCCCTTCCCCATCCCCCAGTTGTTTCCCCCTGTGAGTTGTCCTTACACTTTTTCGGCTGAAATCCTCTAGATCGATATCAGCCAATCCAAGGCTTCCCCCTGGAGGGAATAAAGTGCTCTGTGTGACTTCATGGTCCTTTACAGGGAATTTACCCTTTCCAGAATTTTTCATGTTATTTTACTGAACCATATATATATTATAAAAATTTTTTTATTTTTTATTTTTTTTATTCTTTTATTTTTTGTTGTGCAAAGGTTTCAGACAGGTTTGCCATGCCACGACAGTAAATACAGATATTTCAAGAAGCCTAAGACTGTGGCATGTGATAATACTGCACATTGTTTAGAAGATAAACATATTGAGGCATATAATGTCTCTTAACAAGAAAACAGTAAGATTGTTTGAGACCTACTATATGGATAGGCATTAACTTAGTCGAGTATAATAAATCAAGATAAAATAACTCTAAACTGTAGTTAATTCTTCAGCCGGGTAGCTGCTGGGCTCTATGGTCGGTGAATGCGCATGGGAGGCTAACAAAGTAGGAAATAATGGTTGCCCTATCATGCCCATCACAGCAGCAGGGAGGATGTCAGTTAAATAGGCTGGTATGACCTCAGAGGTGTGCCATCCAGAGAAGGAGCCCGCATGGTCTAGTCTAGCTATATTATTACAGCTGGCATATTTTAAACCGGCTACATGACTACTTACGTAGTGTTCAATTTGTAGCGGATGACACTAGGCTGTCCTGGGAATTGTATTAACCTTGACTGCATTTGTGTAAATGGCAAAGTTATATGTGTTAAATGTATTGTGTTCGTCTGATTGTTCGGTAGTTTCATTCCCTTAGTTTGTTCGAATGAACTTACCGAACAGTCAGACCTTCCCTGTGTGAAGTGTGCCTTCAATTACCCGTTGCAACATTGTTGCGAACAGGTAATTGACAAGCTGAGTAGCATTCCTTTGTTCTCTGGGGTGGCCGCCATTCGGGAAACGAACACGTGGCGGCGGCCATTTGAAAACTCCCGAACAGCGGTGTTTTGCCGTCGAGTGTCTGGAACTCAAATCGGACACTCGATGAAAACCCTCAAACACAGCAAGTAGAAGGGGAAATAAGCATATAACTGAACATGGCTAACTTATAGTATACTTACAGAGACATGAGCACCAGTGACACATACGTCTCAAAGTGGCCCTCTATGTGGCATGCATAGCGCATAACGACTCTCTGGGTAGAGGGTATGGCTCCCCTTTGATTTCCACCTATTTAGCATATAGTTAACGTGGCACAGTGGCGCAACACTGTCTCTAGCTCCAGTGGGAATCTTTAATTTCAGTTTTTGCTGTTGCTATTTTTTAGATTTTATTCTTAAAGTAACTCTACATAACCTTCCAATACCATTGCCATCGCATGGAGCCCAATTCGGGCTATACCTTCCAGCGCGGTCGGTCATTTTATTCCCTCCATGAATTTCCCGAACCCCTGGTCTGATCTGGGTGATTTTTGGATATGTTGTTCACCCAGATCAGCGCTACCAGGAGATGTATAATTTAAAGTGGTACCCCTAGGTTTAGGGGTACATCCAGAAACGGGGAATTGGTGTCCTGGATAAGGGGATTATGATGCAGGCTGAGGGGAGGGGATGTGTGGGAGAATACCGGAACAGGATTGGATACTGTAGTAATTGATGGAAATCCCTCCCTTGCATGGGAGCATGCTTTATAAGGCCACTGTGAAATAAAGGTTTTTGTGTTCTGCTCCTGATACTGTGTGTCGTCCAGTTATTGGGATTGCTGTTGGGATATTGCGGGATTATTTTACCTGCTGGAAACCTTGCTTTATGGATTTATAATTACTTGTTCCTGAGCCTGACTGGGATCTTAAGCGGAGATAACCTGTGGAATACTGGATCTCCGCTACACAATTAGAGCATGGCATTGCACAGTGTTATAGGTAATACAATAAACATGGTTAGGGCATCATATCATGTTGGCTGGAGGAGGCAAATAGGTTTGACCTAGGATATATACTGTACATGGTATTGGAAGGTTATGTAGAGTTACTTTAAGAATAAAATCTAAAAAAATAGCAACAGCAAAAACTGAAATTAAAAATTCCCACTGAGCTAGAGACAGTGTTGCGCCACTGTGCCACCTTAACTATATGCTAAATAGGTGGAAATCAAAGGGGAGCCATACCCTTTACCCAGAGAGGGCTACTTTGAGACGTATGTGTCACTGGTGCTCATGTCTCTGTAAGTATACTATAAGTTAGCCATGTTCAGTTATATGCTTATTTCCCCTTCTACTTGCTGTGTTTGAGGGTTTTCATGAGGGGCTAATTGCACCCTCCAGCTGTGAAAGTCCCAGTGTTGGGCTCACCCGCCCATTGCTATAAAGATCTGTGCGGAGAGTACACTGCGTCTTGAGGCCTTCTCGCGGTGCACTGCGGCTGACTGCCTTTTGCTGTACTCCCAGTCTTCCCACTACCTGATCATGTATGATGGGACCGTGGGTCCGCCGGAGCCTTGCTCTCCTGAGACCCCTCCGGGTATGAGGGTGGTGAGTCGGGCTTCTGTCTTGAGGATCCTTCTGCCCATGAGGTCTTTTGCTCCCAATGGTTGTGAGTGTCTGCGGTGCCGAGTGTTGGCCCTGTATGCGCCGCCTTGGTTTCACTGCGGCCATTTTGCAGCCTCCACGTGGGTGCCACGGTGGCCGGGCACCATGGTGTGTACTGAACCCTATATTTAACAAATACTTGTTTGTGTGGTGTGAAAAATAAAATGTAGAATTCCACATCTCTTTATTCTGGGCACTTGGCCTCCTGTCAGTCATTGTTCTAGAATGTGGCGGTCCGCACAGAGAGACGAGAAACTGTGGGGGTCTATTCACTAGACATGAAATATTAACTGAACAGCTGCTTGATTCAGGGTTGTTACAATTAGTCTGTTTTAACCTATTCGGCTATTCATATAAGGCAAATTCAGTTATTTCAGCAGGATTTGCACTCTGTTCGGGTGAAGTTCAGTTAGGTCTCAAAATCAGTCCATCTTTATATAATATGGGTGGTTTATCTATTCACAAACACTGGCAATCGAATTGTAGCTGTCAGTTGTTGCAATTCCTCTGATATAGACCCAGAGAATTGTCCCTAAATCTCCACCAGCCCCTTCACTTACTAAGGTTACACCCCCCCACCACACCTGACAAGAGAAAAGATGAGACCGAACAATGCAGAAGAGCTGAAGGCTGCTATTGAAGCATCCTGGTCTCCCATAACACTTCAGCATTGCCACAGGCTGATAGCTTCCATGCCACGCCGCATTGAGGCAGTAATTGCTGCGAAGGGGCCCAAACCAAGTACTGAGTCCATATGCATGCTGATACTTTTCAGAGGTCCGATATTGTTCTATGTACACTCATCGTTTTACTGATTGCATGTAATATTCTAATTTACTGAGATTGTGGATTTGGGGTTTTCATGAGCTGTAAGCCATAATCATCACACTTATGACAAGATCAGACATAACTTTAAACCATTCAGAAGATAAGATTTTGAATCACGTGTCTCCCTGGTGTTTTATTTTTTAACTTTTTGCGCCAATCAAAAATTTTAAAGGACAGTTAGAGATTTCTTATATACCCTGTATAACTTGCTCAACATGGGGGAAAAAAAACCGGGAAAATGTTCTAATAACTCTTAGCCAGCCAGTGAGCGATTTTGGGAATACCTTATGTAGCGGACCATGGGTAACCTAGCTGGTTACCCCCACTACTAAAGAGACCTATTTTTTCGCAGTAACTGGACGGCACACCGTTCCAGGGGTACAACAACACTTTATTGGCCACATTTGGCTTTATACTTTCCCCAGGCAAGGGGGTGGAACACAGGTTGCAATGTCCCCTCCCAGGGTCGCCCAACGGAACCGGAACTTCCATCCTTTTGTCCCCTGTTCCTGCCACTCTGTGCCATCTCCCAGGGTCCTCCCCTTCCCAGGGACCTGTACATATCATAGGAACTCTTGTCCCCAGTTTCTGCCACCCACCTACAGGGTTTCCCAATTCCAGTGCCAGGGGGCCTTTTTCCCATGAGCCTCTGTATCTGGGAGTCCCAGTGTGGGAAAGCTTCCCGCCTCTGTGGCTCCCAGCCATAGAAAGCCCGCCATTGTCCCCACCAATCTCAGGGATCCCCCTGAACGGTAACTGCCTACATTCGCGGGATCCCTGGGTAAAATCAGGCAAGGGAAATGTCTCAGTTCGGGATGCGAATGCTCCCCTTGGCCGCTGTCTGTCTATACGAACGGCGGCCACCCAGGGTAGCATTCATTAATTACTTCCCTTGCTGTTTCACACTTCTGTTTCAAGTTGGCAGTGTTCTAATTGATTGGTACGAACATTCCATGGGGCACTGGAGAGGTCCTCGTTCGGGAGCTGAACGGGGTGGAAAGCAATCCGCGAATGCGCCCCTTGGATGGAGTTTGTATAACGAAAGGGCCGCCACCCAGGGTCTGCACGCGCCGAGGCTTCCCTTACGGTTTGTCGTTTTCACACCTCGTTGACTAGGTGCGAACATTCCAAACAAACATTCTAAATGGGGTATCGAGGTGGCCCCCGTTCGGGAGGCTAACAGAACTCGTTCATATGGGGACTCCCAAACAGGCAATAGGTAAAACCCAAGAATACACACAATATAGGGGGAAAACACCGGTAATGACACACAGCAATTCACTAACAGGTAGCAGTCCAGCCACACCTTATTCGGTTTGGATTGTCATATATCAAAATAGATGTATGTCTGTTTCAAAGCTGAAGGTTTTCAAATATTTAGATGTTAATTAACCAATTATAAAAGTGGTCACCAAACCCCAAACTAATAAATAGGGGGGAGCGGGATATATAGATGGTTGGCTTTTTAAAACAACTCAAATTTTAAAGCTGTGGGCATTGTGATTCTATTAATGCAGCTATTTTTTATTTTAATTTTTTAACATTCTTTACCAAAATTAAAGGTAATTTCTTCCCTTATCTTCATATACAAACAGTATCTAGGTTAAAAAAAAGATTAAAGTCCATCAAGTTCAACCCTGAAACCCATTCTTTTCTGATGTTGATCCAAAAGAAAGCAAAAATGACAACTGCAACCATTTACAATTAAGCTGCAAAAAAGGGAAAAAAAAATCCATCTTAACTAAATAATGATCAGATTTCTCCTCGGATCAACAACCTTTTTACATACATATTAATGATATCCTTGAATATTCAGTTTATGCAAAAACAAACAAACATCCAAACATTTAAAAAATATATCTACAGAATATGATAACACAACCTCTAGGCAGAGAATTCCACATGGTTATTATTCTTCCTCTGTTGTATGTAAAAACTCATTTCTTCCAGTCTGAAGGTCTGTTGCCCAAAACAGTTCCATACACTCAACGGCAAAACACCGCTGGACAATTTAAGACGGCAGCCGCCACATGTTTGAATCTGTTCCAGTTAAAGGTCCAAGGGGAAGAAACAGGGCCTTTAAAATCCAATATGCCCAAATAGTGTTTTTAAAGGGCAATATATCCCAGGGGCCCTAGTTACAGGGCTTGAGGCTGGCAAGCAGGCCTCTCCAAGTACAAGTGGTGAGGTTACTTTCGCCACACCCACCCCTGCACTTTTTCCAGTATGCAATATCCTTCTTTAAAACGGGTGCCCGAAATTGCACTGTATTGAGTTTTGGTGTGAACTCTGTTATTCAGCTGTAGTAAATCCCCTCTATGGCAGGTTTTTTGGGGAGTGAGAATATGAAAATCAAGAAAGCAATTGCAAGTCAGTCGTCTTCAGAGTGCAGAACTGTATACGTTTGCATTTATTTCACTCTTAAACTATACTGCAACTTGTTAGCTGTGGTATCTGCATTATCTGCCCATGTTCTCTGTTCATGCTCTTTGCCACCTTCATCTCTTCTTGCACAACTGTGGACTTTATTATTATATTTATGGTATTATGTGAATCTTCAGTTCAAAGAACCCCCCCAAAAAGTTATAGCTTTATAGAATTATGCAATCCTCTTAAGCTGCTGCAAACACAGTGTGATATTCCCGTATTAATTCACACAAATCTAACAAAGCCTTTGTAAAATTAAATGTCCAAAACTGAGGTGCCACCAGCTCCCCCCCCCCCAAGCCTTCTAAATACACACACACATTCACTGACAGATACGCATACACTCGCTAACAGAAACACACACACACTAACAGACACACTCAGTAACAGACACACTCAGTAACAGACACACACACTCACAGGCAAACACACTCACACTAACAAACACACACACATTGACAGACACACACTCACTGACACACACACTCACAGGCAAGCACACTCACTCACACTAACAGACACACACACAGTCAGACACACACACTCACAGGCAAACACACACTCACTAGCAGACACACACACACACACTCACTGACACACAGTCAGACACACACATACACACTAACAGACAAACACAGTCAGACACACACACTAACAGACACACACTAGCAGACACACACTCACACAGTCAGACACACACACATTGACAGACACATACACTCACAGGCAAACACACTAACAGACACACACACTCACTCACTAGCAGACACACAGTCACACACACATACACACTAACAGACACACACAGTCAGACACACACTCATTAGCAGACACACTCACAGACATATACACACACTCACTCACATTAACACTTATTTTTTTTT